TTGGAAATGGATGCAGGAATCGAACCCGTGAGACGATTACCTGCAAGGTTGCTGGGACGAATAGGGGAAGGGAGATCAGAGGGAAGAGGGTGAGGAAGGGAAAAGGGTGGTTCATAAAGTGAATTGAATGTGTGAGATAGTCTGAATGAGCAAGGAAGAGGTCACAGTCTAAGCAGCCAAGACTGTTCAACAAACAATGCAGAAATAAAAATGGGTATATCCAAGCCCTCACAGATACGTGAGTGCAGAGTTCATATTCGTTGGAGCCGGTATGGATCCTATTAAATAGTTATGTTCTAGATTCCTGTGCACATGGATTGTTCATATGTACATGCACATCCATTTGAGCATTTGCATGCACAGTCGCAGGCACATGCACGTGCACATTCACATTCATTCCATATGCGCACAGGATTGAGTCAGGAGGCAGCGACCACAGGGTGAGACAGGTGGGTGGGGTTGTCATGCAGACATGAATCAAAGCACCGCAAACCCTGGTTGGGTTTGGGGAAGCACACCCGCAATATGCCACTCTGTCTGGGAATGGCTGATGTTTACAGTGGGGACGTTCGAGAGGGCATGGCGAGCATGCTGACGGCAACTGACCAAATGTGATTCCAGGGAATGAAAAAATGGAGGGCAAATAGTTAGGACAATTGCATGTGTTAAGCGCATGATGCCTGCAAGTAAGTCGAGTGCGAAGCGGATCTCACTCAGCGCAAATTCCACGCACGCAGATAGCTTGTGATGGGAAGGACCGTGTCAAAAAGAGAGCGTATGCTGCTGCTGTGGTGATGAGAATTATAGCAGACCATGAGGCCTGCTGGCATGCAAGCTATTTAATGCCATGGCATAATATCCACAACATGGCATGCATGACATGGAGGATGCCTCACATATTTTGCAATCGCTTTAGTTTAGACATGGAAGCAGGAATAGAGCCTTGGACAGAGTTGCCCGACAAATCACTGCAGGGAGGGAGGAAGGGAGGGAGGGAGGGAAAGGGGGGAGGAGTGAAGGAGGAAGGACGGGACCAGACCAGAAACATCGCGGCTAAAGTGGTTTATTTGACCTCGCCATTGCTGTCGCCAATGCTCCTAATACTATCTCCACTATTTCAAAGAACTGCACCTCCACACTGAATATAGACAATGGGGAAAGATGTCTGGAGAGTATGAAACTGGGAGAACACCGGCCAGGACAAGCCCTGCAGGAGACCAAGGTGGAGGACTGAAGGAAGGTTGTTGTAGTGAGGCTTCGTGATTGCAGCAGCCGGGATGAATGGGGGACGAGGGGATGCAGGGTGTGGTCGAGTCATATCCTGGCCTTGCAACGCAGGCTCAGCACTGGCTGCGTGCAATGCAATTCAATGTCTGACTCAAAAAAGATCGACCTGACTGACAGTAGGGCATTGCATACAGCGATGGTCGAACAAGGTGTTACAGCCGGATCAGAGCAGGGCCTTACAGTGTTCTGAGGTTAGAAAGTCGGGACAGGAAGGTGGGCAGGGTGTTGGTCAATCCGCTCCTTGACAGGTCACTGCCAGCCGACGGAAAGGAGAACAGGATGGTTGGCTGAGGCAGATGGAATGAGTACAGACTTTGTCGGAGGGATTGAGTGGATGGATGGTGAGAAGAGGCCAGTACGACAGGTGGTTTGGGTGTAAGGAAGAGAGCAGCTATAGCATGAGCAGCAGCGTAACTGGATAGGTAGGGTCAACATGAACGAGCGAGTCTGAGAGCATGCGGAACGAGCAGAGATAAGGACAAGGTGAGCTAAAAAATCAAAGAACCGATTCAAAGACAGCTGAAACAGTCTATTCAAGAGTCAGCTCAAGAGTGAACACAAAGGCAAAGAGGCATGGTCGAAGGCGATGCCTCTGTAACAACAGAGGAGTCAGCTCAAGAATCAACTCAAAATTCATCTCAGGGGTCAACTCACAAGTCAACCCAAAAGGCTCCTTAAAGACAGAGGCCCACTCACGGCATGCATACTGACAGACATCACATCAGCATGCTGAACAGATAGGCAAGGCGAGGATTCCTGCCATGCTGCCCAGCGACGTGGCATGAAGCCCAGTGGTTTGTAAGCTGATGATACAGCCGGTCCCGTGGGGTTCAGTGCGGCGCAGTGAAGCGGTAAACTGAGAGGTATTGTAGCAATAACAGAAGGTGCTCACAGGGAGGTGAGGGATGTGATGGTTGATATTGGAGCCATGAGTGCTTCAGAAATGCTGTTGCCACCCAGGGAGCTGTTTAAAGGACAAGGGGTAGAAAGGGATTGGTTAAAGGTGCAGCAAACATGATTGAACTGTGAATAGATCATGACAAGCAGAAGTGGCAGATGTGAAAGTATCTCGTATAACAAGCCACAGAGCTGCGTGCATGAGCATGGGGAAAAATGTGCAGTCACTATAGACAGAGCATGGAGAAGCGGTGGAGGGGCCAGCACTAACAGTTCTTGAAGGTAAGCAGCCCCGTTCAAATAACTTGGTAGTGGCCCTGTTATATCATTGTTACTCAGGTCCCTGCCATGCATGTCATGGCATGCCACGTCATTCCACACCATGCCGTGCATGCCATGTCACACAATGTGTTGCAATGTGAAGGCATGATGAGTAAGTATGAAGGGGGTCATGCCTGCATACCCTTGGCACTCGTTGCACGCATTCGAAGTATAGAGAGACAGGTGAGGCCGTGATGATACAGCATGATGGCAGATGAGGGATGCATGGTGAGTGAGAGGGATGTATCTTGAGAGGGATGTGTTGTGAGCGCGATCCACAGCAAAATGTATTTCAGACACAGCATGCATGAGCCACTGAATGACGGCATAGCACACATGAACAACTTGGGCCCCATGCCATGCCATGCAGAACCAACCCACTCAGGAGTCAGAGGCAAGAGTGGGAGAGGCTAGGAAGGCGCTCACAGCAGTGTAAGGTAGCCGAGTCTTGTGATTTCTGTAGGAAGACCGCCTTTGATCCCACACCCGGCCGCACGTCTGAAGCGAGAGGCAAGTGAAGGGGGAGTGAGATGGAAGTGCATGAAAGAAGCCGTGAGAGGAAACTTGTGCGGGTGGATGAGGGTGGGATGGAAAACAAGAGTGCGGCAAAAGGTAGCAACTGATTAGGCGGGCCATGACAGGGCCGGATGGATTAGAGGAGAAAGCCTGGTCATTGCTGCTGGGCATTTCAATCTAGCTTTCAGATGTACAGTGAGTAGGAGAAGTGCAGAGTTGTTGTGGATTCTTGATAAGAAATCCATGATGGGAGAGAAAGAGCATGCAAGCATTACACAAAACTTAAAGCACGCTGGTTTTCTGGTGCAAGGATACTGGCGATGGTGCTGGTGGTGCTGGCACTGGTGCAGGTGATGGTGTGCAATGCAAGCTGAACTCTGATATGCCAGCGAGTGCTTTGGTTAGCTTACAGCGATTGCAAGTCTAGACTGCTGTTTATTATTGCTCCTGAAAGGGTTCCTGACAAAGGGTTGTTGGAAATGTCTCTGGAGAGAGGTGATGAGAGAGGCGATGAAACAGAAGGATGGTAGAACGATGGGAGCAGTTTAGGGTTGCTTCCATAACAAGAGGACTCATTTAGTGTCGGGTGACTTCATGGGCTCAGTTCAGTGCAACGGTGGTCCTTCACCAGGTTATTCAGTGTGGAGTGGGGTTGCCTGTAGATGTGACGTGAATAGACGTGGATTCAACCTTGCAAGGCTCTCCTAAAAAATTAAAGGAGTAAAACAAAGAAAAAATAAACAGAAACAGGATGCAAGCAACATGGCGGCTATAACGGAAGTGAGCAGGGCACTTGAACCGGCAGACCCGCCCATTGGCTGAACAACGAACATGGTTCGGCCCAAAACCAAGTCTAGCACAGCACGTAATGAGAGTGGTATTTGAGTGGAACGAAAGAAAGGCAGGCGCACAACGTATTGAGAGAGGTGACGGGAAAAGCCTGCTTTATGTCGCCTGTCAGCTGGTTGTTTGCCAGCTTCCTGTGGCACGCAAACACGAGAAACATGGAGAGGGGAAAGGGGTGAGGAGGTGGAGATGAAGAGGAGGGGGAGGGAGAGTGACGTATTTGTATCTCCCACCTTGGTATTACAGAGGACTGTTCGAGGGGGGAGACGGCAGCACAGATCTGCTGAGGAGAAGGAAGAACGTATGAGTGTGTGAGAAAGACGCGAGGAAGCATACAAGTGTAGAGAGGATGAGAGGAAGCAAAAGAGGGAGGAGAGGGAAAGATGAAGAGCGAGAATAGGAGAGGGAGAGCAAGAAGAATTGTCTGCAAAAAATGGATAGCCTAGGAGAGGTGGCAACATTGCTGGTTTTCGTCTCACCCCAAAAAATTATGGGGTAATTAAACATATTGGTTACCCCATCATGTTGGTGCGCCCTGTCTTTGTTACGCCCACTTCTCTCACTATGTAAACGCTCACTCTCTAAATGAAGAAAACTCTTGAATTCACCTCATCCGAACTACAAAAATCCACAACATTGTTAGCTAGTACTCATATCTTTGGATGGCATATGCTATACTCTGAAATGAGATTCATATGGATAATTGTTTTAACTCCCTTCAGCATGCATGTCTGGTTTTTTATTCCCTCAATCCGCACAGGCCCAACAGGCCCAGAGGGAACTCTGAATTTCAACATCCAGAATGGAGAGACTATAAAAGAATGGGCAAAATACTCGAACCCGAACATGTTCATGCTTAAGGCAAACATGAAGGTGTTGGCCTTTATAATCGAACACCCGAACACCACTCTTCCCTGAATGTATTCGACACATGTCTGACCCGGACACTTTCTTGTTCAGGTTTTGCTCATGTCTAGATACCTGTATTGGCAGCACACACTGGCAAGTGAGGGTCAGCGCAGCACTGCATGCATGAAGGGGCCATGGAAAGAGCACCATGCATGAAGTGCAGTGGGGCGAGGGAATGCAGTAGGGGATGCAGCGGGTGGGAGCTTACATGAAGTGCAACCTTTTTAAGTTTGAGAGTCCCATGGGAATAGATCCTGTGAACTGGTTATTGGAGAGATCTCTGATGTTGACAGGGGCACGACAGGAAGGGAGAGGAAGCGAATGGAAGGAGGTAAGGGAGGAGATAGAAAGAAAGGGAGGGATGGAGGAAGGGAAGGGAGAGAGGGAGGTGGGGAAGTGGGGAGGGAGAGAGGGACGGAGCGAGGGGGTGAGGGAGGGAGGGAGGGAGGGAGGGAGGGAGGGAGGGAGGGAGGGAGGGAGGGAGGGAGGGAGGGAGGGAGGGAGGGAGGGACGGAGGGAGGGAGGGAGGGAGGGACGGAGGGACGGAGGGACGGAGGGACGGAGGGACGGAGGGAGGGAGGGAGGGAGGGAGGGCGGGAGGGAGGGAGGGAGGGAGGGAGGGAGGGAGGGAGGGAGGGAGGGAGGGAGGGAGGGAGGGAGGGACGGAAGGAGGGATGGAGGGCGGGAGGGAGGGAGGGAGGGAGGGAGGGAGGGAGGGAGGGAGGGAGGGAGGGAGGGAGGGAGGGAGGGAGGGAGGGAGGGAGGGAGGGAGGGAGGGAGGGAGGGAGGGAGGGAGGGAGGGAGGGAGGGAGGGACGGACGGAAGGAGGGACGGAGGGCGGGAGGGAGGGAGGGAGGGAGGGACGGAGGGACGGAGGGACGGAGGGAGGGAGGGAGGGAGGGAGGGAGGGAGGGAGGGAGGGAGGGAGGGAGGGAGGGAGGGAGGGAGGGAGGGAGGGAGGGAGGGAGGGAGGGAGGGAGGGAGGGAGGGCGGGAGGGCGGGAGGGAGGGAGTGAAGGAGGGAGGTAGTGGAAAGCCTGCCTTTGTGTCATCACACAGAAATGCATGGATCTTGAGTGAGAGGAGGTGCAAAGACGATGAGCCAAATCAGTAGTTGCTTGATGTGGAAAAGGGGGTTCTGGGTGGAAATTTGAGTCCTCTCAGGATTCAAATCATAGGTTGCTACACAGAAATGCTGACAATGGGAAAGGCAACAGGGCGTGAGTAGGTACAAGGTTGGGGTGCAAGGGGACAGATGGAGAAAGGTAGTACGGCAGAGAGGAAGGAGAGGTGGAGGGAGGGAGTAGCAAGCTCAAGAACGTGGGTATTATGGTGCAATAGTCGTACCATGGTCACACACACTACATGGCATGATATGGTGTGGAATTAAGTGGCATGGCGTGGCATGGCATGGCATCGCATGGTACCGCATGGCATGGCCTGGTATGGCATGGCATGGTATAGAATGCCATGGCACAGCATGGCATGGCATGGCACGGCATGGCATGACATGGCACGGCATGGCATGGGATGGCATGGCATGGCATGGCATGGCATGGCATGGCAGGGCACTGCACGGGATGGCATGGCATGGCACGGCATGGCATGGGATGGCATGGCATGGTACGGCACGGCACGGCATAGCATGAAACGGCATGGGATGGAATGCTACGACATGGTATGGCATGGCATGGCATGGCACGGCATGGCAAGCATGGCGTGGCATGTCATATGATGGCATGACATCCCATGGCACAGCACGGCGAATCCTAAAGGCACGGTAGGGTGCTTCGGTGTGGATGCGAGCGTACAGAGAGTTCAGAGCGGTGAGCACGCTTAGGACAGAAGAAATAGTGCCTGAGAGGCGGTTGTTGGCCACAGACCTGCATTGCAAGCCAGGTCATTGGTACATGCATGAGTAACGAAACAAGGGTTCTACCATTGGTGCATTGGTGTCTGCTCTGCTCCCAACTATGCATAAGCATTTTACGAGTCCGGCAAAACTCGACTCTTTTTTGCTTAACTCGGTTGAGGTTTTGCCCAAGTCGGTTTTTTGTCGGATCGATTTTCGCTTGGTAACGCATACAACCAACCACCACATGGACGATTTCTATTTAGTCGTCAAAACTTGGCTCCTAGTATACCGCCCCCACTCCCCCCACCCCCAACCAACCCCCTCTTCCTCGGCCCTCAAAGAGATGGTTTTGCCACCTGCTTCATCCATGCCACCTGCTTCATCCATGCCACCTGCTTCATCCATGCCACCTGCTTCATCCATGCCACCTGCTTCATCCATGCCACCTGCTTCATCCATGCCACCTGCTTCATCCATACCACCTGCTTCATCCATGCCACCTGCTTCATCCATGCTACTGCACGGATCTGGCAGAAACATGTGATGCTAAAACTCGATTTCTCTTGAAAACTCTCTACGCTGGAAAATGGAAACTCATGGAAACTCGATGCAAAATGGAAACTCATGGAAACTCGATTGCTCATGAAAACTCTCTACGCTGCCTCTCTGCACTGCAATGCCCAGAACACATAGTGGAGCGACTCACAAAAACATCATGCCTTTCATTGAAGACAATTCACTGGGAAGCGACCCAGAAAAGGAATTTTGGCCGAGGTACCTGCATTGACAACGCACACGGGCGTTTGAGGGTCACCCACAGCAGTGAATGAAGGGGAGGGAGCAGCATGGATGGAGGCAAGTGATGGCGTGCAGTGGGGGCGATGGGGACTACAGTTGGGGATGCTTACATCCCGCTTATATACTGTAGTTTGGAGACTTGCGATGAAATGGTCCCCGAGAACTGGTTGCTCGTGAGATCTCTGATGTTGGCAGGGACACACAAGGGATGGGTTGGGAGGTGAGGAGGGAGAGAGGGATGGAGGGAGGGAGGGAAAGAAGGTGGGAGGGGCAGGGAGGAAGGGCGGAAGGGAGGGAGGGAAGAAAGAGGGAGGGAGGGAGGGAGGGAGGGAGGGAGGGAGGGAGGGATGGATGGAGGAAGGAAGGGAGGGAGGGAGGGAGGGAGGGAGGGAGGGAGGGAGGGAGGGAGGGAGGGAGGGAGGGAGGGAGGGAGGGATGGAGGGAGGGAGGAAGGGAGGGAGGGAGGGAGGGAGGGAGGGAGGGAGGGAGGGAGGGAGGGAGTGAGGGAGGGAGGTAGGGAGGGAGTGGAGTAGGGAGGAAGGGAGAGAGGGAGGAAAGGAGTTAAGGAGGGAGGTAGTGTGAATCAACAAAATATGTTTGGGTCTTGGGGGTAGTGGGGGTGGAGTGGCGGGGGTGTGCAAAGGCGAGGAGCCTGGAAAGTTTATTTATGCTGACAACGTCATGGTCAGTAGACGTGGCGATGGGTCAACAGGGGGTGGGTGGAAGACAGGGTTACTAGAGTCATGTTGACAGAATTCAGGTCGGCTTGGAATTCAAATTACTGGTAGCTTGAGCCATGCTGACAAGAGGGGCAGCAACAGGGAATGGGTGGGTGATGTGGTGGGGTGGCAGGAGGCAGACAGAGACAGGCAGTGCTGCATAGAGGACAATGAGGTGGACCGTGAATGGAACGAGTGGCAAGCACGAGCTGGTGTGCTTTATGATCAGTGGACGTGGCACGGCATGGCGTTGCATGGACATGGCATGGCATGGCAAGGCGTGCCATGGCATGGGATGGCATACGGGCACAGTAGGGTGCTCTAGTGTGCAGGCGAGCTTACAAAACGTAGAGATAGGGGAGGGTGCACAGGTTCACAATGGAGCCTGAGAGACGGTTGTTATTCAAGGACCTGAATGGAATCGGTAGAGAAAAAGAGGCATCGTTGTTTGGTGCATAAAAAACGTTTGGGCCGCATGGCTTATTAATGGCGTGTGCCAGTGATTAGTTCATGGAGCACATTGATGGTAGCAATCACTAAAAACAGCCTCTAAACACTGTGCTTGCTGTAATGTGATGTGACTCGGTGCAGGTAAGGACACATGTAGAGACATCTAGGGAGAGGTGCCGACGCCGCAAACACATATCTCAATTTGGAACACAGCTCACTCCTGGTATGGGAGGCTGATGCAAGTCTGTGTTTTGAGTCAAGCCTACAGCTGTTACAGCAAGCATTACTGACAGGAACTGCATCTCTGGCATGAGGCCGATGTCACTGGGAAGCGTTCCCGTCAGCTCGTTGTTGCCCAAGTGTCTGGTTGCAGCATAAGGGATGCAGAGAGGATGTAAGAAGGGTTGGAGGGGAACTGGATCCGTGGGGGAATTGTTGGAGAGAAGCGTGGTAAAGAGAGTGGCACGGAGCAGCAGCGCGCATGTGGATGACTATGGTCCACACACAATGACATCTCTTAAATACGACAGAGGCAACAGCGGGCAACCAGCCAAGGTCATCAGAGGTGAACATCGGTCCAACAGACAGCATGGACCCAAAAAAAACAAAAAACAAAAAAAAAACGGTATGGTGCCCGAGGCGCACAGTTGTGTAAGAGTTGGCAGATGGCTGAGTTGGCTGGGTATGGTGCCCGATAGCTGGTTGTTGTTGAGCAGACTGCAAGGGATGTGAGAAACAAGGACAAGAACGAGGGAAGTCACGAGGGGCTACAAGCAACTTAGGTTGACACAGCCACCAGGAAAGCAAGGGCCAGAGGTCAAGTGCAGTCTGAACAGGAGATGGCGGAGAAGGAATGGGAGAGAGGCATACAGATGCAAAGCAAATGGCACTCTTTTGGAGAGAGCGGCAACATGCACACGTGCAGAGAGGCAGCATGCGCACGGGCAGAGAGGCAGCATGCGCAGGTGCAGAAAGACAGCATGCGCAGGTGCAGAGAGACAACAAGCACCGGCAAGCGGGCATTGAAGGGTGTTCTTACACTTGTCTGAGGCTGAGCATGCCAGATATCATGCCCGCTGGAATGGAGCCCGTGAGTTGATTTAAATTCATCACCCTGGTGCCAAGCAGCAGCACAGAGAGGCGGGCAGAGCACGTGCAAGGGTAGGGATGGGAGCAGGCAACTGGGGGCGTGCATGCATGCATGCGTCTGTATCCAAAGCAAGCACACGCTCACGAACAGGGGTTATGGAAACGAAAATGGATAGAAATTTGAAAGAACAACGACAACAACACATTTGAGACGTCCTGCAAAAACAACAAACAAACAAACAGGTATGGTGCAAGAAGCGCACAGTTGTGTAACAAGTGATAGCTTGCTGATTTCGCTGGGTATGGTGCCCGATAGCAGATTGTTGCTGAGCAGACTGCAAGAGATGCGAGAAACAAGAACAAAAGATATGCATGGGAAGTCATGAGGAGAACGAAAGCCATGGATGGGGAATCATGAGGTGAACAAAAGCCATGGATGGGAAGTCATGAGAACAAAAGCCATGCATGGGATGGGAAGTCATGAGGAGAACGAAAGCCATGGATGGGAACTCATGGGTAGAACAAAAGCCATGCATGGGAAGTCATGAGGAGAACGAAAGCCATGCATGGGAAGTCATGATGGGCTAAAACAACTTAGGTTGAATTGACAGCCACCAGAAAAGCAAGGACGAGGGGTCAAGTGCAGTCTGAAAGGGAGAGGGCGGGCGGGTTGGTATGGGAAGGGAGACATACACATGCAAACAGCACTCTTGTTGGAGAGTGAGGCAGCATACACTGTCAAATAGGCAGTTGAGACTGTGCTTACAGTTGTTTGAGGTTGAGCATGCCAGACAGCATGCCCCCTGGAATGGAACCCGTGAGTTGATTCCCTTGCAGCCGCCTGATGCCATGCAGCAAGGAGAGGTGGCCAGGGCACAGGCACGTGTAGGGGTGGAGCAGGCAAGTGGTGAATGAGGCAATGGGAAGTGTGTGATTTTGCGCACGCACGTACGTGTGTGCATACGCGGATATTCAAAACAACAACACATATAGAAGGGAAGAGAAGCATCCTGGAAGGAAACTCTCAAAGTCACAACACCCACAGTCGCAACACCCACAGTCGCAACACTCACAGTCGCAACACTCACAGTCGCAACAAGCTGCTGAGTCCAGTGATTGCAGGGATTGTGCCGCTGAGCTGATTGGATGAAAGATCCCTGCATCCATCACACTCCCACACCGTTCCACGGTCCCACGCATTGTGACAAACACACGAGATCACCATGGCGTCAGCATGTGAGACAGCAGGATGATGTGAGCATGATAACGGACACAATAATGCCTCCTGTTATCGGACCCATCATCCACCCACCCACCCACCCACCCGTCCCCTTTGCAGGTTCCCTTTCCTTTTTTCTGCATCCACCCACCTTATCCCGCTCACCCCTCCCCCCTCCCCTATCATATCCTGAATCATCTTGTCACGTTTATAGTTGTTGAGTGATGCCCAGCAGTACCTCACAGTGCAACACACATTGCTCAGTGCACAATGACCCATTACACATTGCAACTCGCATAGATTCCTCTACTTCCTTCCCACGCACCCCCCTCACCTCACTTTTCCCTCCAACCTCTAATTACGTGAACGCCCCCCCGTTGTACCCCCACCTGCCCCCATCCAACCCCAATCAACCCCATTCTGGCCTTAGCCTAACAGCAACTTCCCCCGAACCTAATCCCAACCTCACGGTCCTCACCCCAAGAGAACCCCAAAGACCTCCTCATGCCTCCTCACAATTCAATCAGAGCAGTAGGGTTGACGAAAGATTGTGGGAGGGGTCCTGTGAGCTGATTCGTATTCAACGCCCTGCGCAGGGGTGGTGGGGGGATGGAGGAGGAGAGAAGGGAGGGGGTGGAGGGCATGAAGGCTTGGAAAAAGGCTGGAGGTGGTTTGGAGTAGGCCAGGAGGTGGCTGCACCCGACCATGCAACCACCATGCTGCCTCCCAGGCATGCACCCAGCCACACACCAGCACGTGCACATGAAGCTATACACACAGCATATGGCCTCGCACAGACGCACTCACAGCGACGTCAGCTGAGAGAGGTTGCCAATGCTGGCGGGTATGCTGCCATTGAGCCCTTTGCTAGTCAGGACCCTGCACGGGGCACATGGGGCAGCACATGGGGCAGCTGAGCATGCTTTTATCTAAAGATGTAACTTTGTTGAACCGCCTACGCAAAAGCGAAGCAAACTGGGGCAATCAAACCTTGTGCTTTGGGAAAACACAAAGCAAACTGGGGCAATCAAACCTTGTGCTTTGGGAAAACACAAAGCAAACTGGGGCAATCAAACCTTGTGCTTTGGGAAAACACAAAGCAAACTGGGGCAATCAAACCTTGTGCTTTGAGACTGACACGTGGGTCCCAGATTCCCACAGGTTGTGGGGAACCGTGAAGAAAGGGGGCTTGGCTCCTTCCCCCAGGGGAGAGATGACATTACTAAAAGCATCTCTTATCACCATGGGCAACTGCAGGACGCCTC